GTAGTTTTTAGTACAAAATGGGAATCAAGCTTTAGAGTTTGTTTCCACTAGCTGAAAATTTTGTACATTTTGCCAAAAAATTTAGCACGGTTTGGATTCTTGTTATTTTTCTAGTGTTACATGGCTGCTTGAAGCATATGGAGTTGCTGGTCCGAACAAGAAGTTGGCATTCCACTATTCAACGTGGCTTCAATTCTTTCCGTTTTTCTGGTGTTACTTGGTACTTAGAGCGTATGGATTTCCTAAACGTATGTAAAGTTTTGATTCTCGTTTATGATACATAGCGTTCCCAAGTCGCAATTGGGTATTGTTTCTAAGTTTGTAAGAGCTTTTTCGATCAAAATTTTATTTGTTGTCAACATTTCTAATTATGTTCTTCCTAAAAATGAATTTCTGTCTGCGGAAACCGATCATTCAGTTTATCAACTTGTTGTTTCATCCACAAAAAATGCTAAACGATAATACGAGGCAGCTGCATGGCAGTTTTGAATATCATATGATTTTTTCATTCTTTTACTCAATTTTTAATTTCAGGGAATTTGATTGGTAGTGTTGACGGTCGTTATGGAGTTAGCTGCAAACATTGGCTCATAGGTCCTGCCAATAGAGGTTTTATCTCGTTTCAGATGAAGAAAGTTTTAGAGAAAAGTTGCATTAAAAAGTAAGTTTTCCAGTTAAATCGCAACATTAATTGTAGTTTTGAACATTTTTAGAAAAATTCAAAATACATCAGTGACACAATAAAATTGTAGTGAGCCTGTGGGAACATAAAATATTCGCAATTTGATATCATTTATATTAGTTTGTTAGTTTGATATGACAAAACAGAACATACGTGAGTGTCTACACTGTAGTGACAAAACAGAACATACTTGAGTGTCTACACTGTAGTGACAAAACAGAACATACGTGAGTGTCTACACTGTAGTGACAAAACAGAACATACGTGAGTGTCTACACTGTAGTGACAAAACAGAACATACGTGAGTGTCTACACTGTAGTGACAAAACAGAACATACGTGAGTGTCTACACTGTAGTGACAAAACAGAACATACTTGAGTGTCTACACTGTAGTGACAAAACAGAACATACGTGAGTGTCTACACTGTAGTGACAAAACAGAACATACGTGAGTGTCTACACTGTAGTGACAAAACAGAACATACGTGAGTGTCTACACTGTAGTGACAAAACAGAACATACGTGAGTGTCTACACTGTAGTGACAAAACAGAACATACGTGAGTGTCTACACTGTAGTGACAAAACAGAACATACGTGAGTGTCTACACTGTAGTGACAAAACAGAACATACGTGAGTGTCTACACTGTAGTGACAAAACAGAACATACGTGAGTGTCTACACTGTAGTGACAAAACAGAACATACGTGAGTGTCTACACTGTAGTGACAAAACAGAACATACGTGAGTGTCTACACTGTAGTGACAAAACAGAACATACGTGAGTGTCTACACTGTAGTGACAAAACAGAACATACGTGAGTGTCTACACTGTAGTGACAAAACAGAACATACGTGAGTGTCTACACTGTAGTGACAAAACAGAACATACGTGAGTGTCTACACTGTAGTGACAAAACAGAACATACGTGAGTGTCTACACTGTAGTGACAAAACAGAACATACGTGAGTGTCTACACTGTAGTGACAAAACAGAACATACGTGAGTGTCTACACTGTAGTGACAAAACAGAACATACGTGAGTGTCTACACTGTAGTGACAAAACAGAACATACGTGAGTGTCTACACTGTAGTGACAAAACAGAACATACGTGAGTGTCTACACTGTAGTGACAAAACAGAACATACGTGAGTGTCTACACTGTAGTGACAAAACAGAACATACGTGAGTGTCTACACTGTAGTGACAAAACAGAACATACGTGAGTGTCTACACTGTAGTGACAAAACAGAACATACGTGAGTGTCTACACTGTAGTGACAAAACAGAACATACGTGAGTGTCTACACTGTAGTGACAAAACAGAACATACGTGAGTGTCTACACTGTAGTGACAAAACAGAACATACGTGAGTGTCTACACTGTAGTGACAAAACAGAACATACGTGAGTGTCTACACTGTAGTGACAAAACAGAACATACGTGAGTGTCTACACTGTAGTGACAAAACAGAACATACGTGAGTGTCTACACTGTAGTGACAAAACAGAACATACGTGAGTGTCTACACTGTAGTGACAAAACAGAACATACGTGAGTGTCTACACTGTAGTGACAAAACAGAACATACGTGAGTGTCTACACTGTAGTGACAAAACAGAACATACGTGAGTGTCTACACTGTAGTGACAAAACAGAACATACGTGAGTGTCTACACTGTAGTGACAAAACAGAACATACGTGAGTGTCTACACTGTAGTGACAAAACAGAACATACGTGAGTGTCTACACTGTAGTGACAAAACAGAACATACGTGAGTGTCTACACTGTAGTGACAAAACAGAACATACGTGAGTGTCTACACTGTAGTGACAAAACAGAACATACGTGAGTGTCTACACTGTAGTGACAAAACAGAACATACGTGAGTGTCTACACTGTAGTGACAAAACAGAACATACGTGAGTGTCTACACTGTAGTGACAAAACAAACATACGTGAGTGTCTACACTGTAGTGACAAAACAGAACATACGTGAGTGTCTACACTGTAGTGACAAAACAGAACATACGTGAGTGTCTACACTGTAGTGACAAAACAGAACATACGTGAGTGTCTACACTGTAGTGACAAAACAGAACATACGTGAGTGTCTACACTGTAGTGACAAAACAGAACATACGTGAGTGTCTACACTGTAGTGACAAAACAGAACATACGTGAGTGTCTACACTGTAGTGACAAAACAGAACATACGTGAGTGTCTACACTGTAGTGACAAAACAGAACATACGTGAGTGTCTACACTGTAGTGACAAAACAGAACATACGTGAGTGTCTACACTGTAGTGACAAAACAGAACATACGTGAGTGTCTACACTGTAGTGACAAAACAGAACATACGTGAGTGTCTACACTGTAGTGACAAAACAGAACATACGTGAGTGTCTACACTGTAGTGACAAAACAGAACATACGTGAGTGTCTACACTGTAGTGACAAAACAGAACATACGTGAGTGTCTACACTGTAGTGACAAAGTACATGAAATACGAAAAAAACTGTAAAGTTTTTGAAACGTGAAGAAAGTGTCATATTTTTTAGCAAGTTGCTATGCCACAATTGTGTAACTTTGATCAGTTGTGTATTAATTGTTGCTATATATCGTATTTACTCATACTTTTCTCTAAAATTAATGTTTTATCGCTATAATAATCATATAGGAGTCGTAGTTGACATCAAAAAGTGCATTTTTAATTTTCTACCATTGTAAGAGTTCTAAATTTGTATTTTTGTGGTTTATGTCACGTGCAATGTTTACCGCCAACCAACTACCAAAGTTAAAAGCTAACACTGGTATTATCCATTCTCACCTATTTCATTGTACCACACTATTCATTCATTTTTAGCAGTTTTAAAAGACAATTTCAAAACTTGTGAGTCTCTTAGCAACTAAATGTTTTTAATGCCCTTCCTCTCTCACTTGACTCGCGTTTCTGGAACTATTACTGTTATCGCACGCTAGTCGTGTTCACTCCTGCCCTTTGAAATGAGCAGGACAGCCTATATAAATACTTGAAATAGACTGCGCTTTTATTGCATAATATTCCGGTGCCTGCTTCATATTGGCATTTTAATACTTAGTACGACTTTTACTGGTTAGTACTGCCATTTGAAATCAGTAGACCATCGACCAACGCTTGTAAGTGTATAGTAATTACTAAAAAAATACTACGTTTTGTTTGTGCTATTTATTTTTATAAATTATTTTACAGTGGTTTTTAAGCAAGTAACTGTAAAAGATCCTATGTCACTATTCATTTCCTATAAAAAACAGATACTAACCAGCTGCTAACAAAATATATCTCATATTTCGCATCCAAATTTTCGTTGATTTGTTGAACATCCGAATGTGTTTAAATACCATTGTTAAAAAAAAACTTTTAGATATGTTTGAGTTAGATCTATGAAATGTATAGTCTGAGGAGGTTTTTCATTTGTCTTACCGTTGGTTAGTCTATTTCGTTTGATTTGTTACAATACTGTTCAAAATTTCTTTTTTATCAACTAAAAATGTCTAATAGAAAACGAAGTGCCTGTACATATCATCTGTACATTTCATCACCTTGATGAATGGTGCAAAATTTAGCATCACGTCGTTCATAATATTTTGCTGGTTGTACATACCATAAAAATCTTGATATCGTACACACATAAGAATATAGAAGCTCTCTGCTTTGCTTGCAGCAATTATTTGTAAACGTTTTTTTTTATTGCAGCAAGAGTTGGAGTTTCTGGTTAACCTAATGTACTATTTGATAATTAAACTTTCATAAAATAAAGGACAAATAGAAAAGAAAATTTGATTGATAGAAAAGTTTACAAAGTTAGTCAGAATTGCTGCAGACATAACACACCTTCCTTGCTCTGCTAACAACAGTGAAATTATTGAAATAGCATAATATTTGAAAGCATTTATTCGTTCTAAAAATTAGGAACTGAGCACTCTTGCTACATGCAGTTAAAGTAACTAAAAAATACAGCGTCTTCAATATGTTGAAAGTATGTTATAACTTATAAAGAACTAATGATTCGTACTGTTAAAATGTATGAGAAAATTTTCTTATCTGTTTAGTGTTCCTGCGTTCTAAACAAAGTTTGAAAACATCTCATATAAGATATATTAAGCTTTTTTGCATCAGGATTCTAGTTTTTTCTATTCCGAATATAATACTTGTAAATTTTCCATATATTTATTCACACTACGCAGCGCGCTGAGATAATACTCAAAAACTCTTTTTATCAGTGTACTTCCTGCTGTGATCTTTTCAAATAGACCATATAGCAAAACAGGTATTCGACACAGTTAATAATCTGAGGCGTACAAAAACGACGACAAAATCAAAGTTTGTCATCTTGTTAAACACTCAAAGCTCGTCCAATTGATTGTAAGTTTTTCAGACTAAGTTGTATTGTATTATATACACTAGACTATTAAGTGCTAGCTACACGTCAAGATGTTACTGAGTTGAATATAAGTAAAATGTTTAAGGAAATGTTTCATCTTCTTTCTATATGTCGTAGTTGCCCTCAATCTTCGAACTATCTACATCATTAGCGGTGGAGATATTTTCCGCCAAAAACGTAGCGATAATCGTAGCAAAAATTTTAGCAAACGTAGAAAACGTAGCTAAATCAGAAAAAAATGTGGAAGCGATAAACATACAGAGTAAAACGTTTCTATAGACTTTAAGGTTTTCGCTGATATTACCACCATTAATAAAGTCATGTGTCTATGGAAATCTTACAACATGGTTATTTACAAGTTTAGATTATTAACGTTTCTGCTTGGGTCGATCTCATTCATACTTTCTCAGGTTATAGCTAAAGGCGACAGTATAAATATATAATGGTGGGCGGAAGTTGACACGCAAGCAATTTTTTTCACGCTGATTGTACACTGCTCTTAAATTGCACCAAATATTTTGTATTGGTTGATTCAGAAGTATGGCTTAGCGAACAGTAATTTACTTTGCATTTAGGCTAGAAATTAATATGATTTGTTAACAAATTAAAAGATTTTAAATCAAAGATGGTATATTTATCAAATTTTGAAGGTTCTGAAATAGTTTACCTGCAGAATAAAATAAATAAAGATAAGCAAGTGTTTGAAGGAAATAAGTCGTTTGAAATGGTCATTGAAAGTAAAAACGCCTTTTTTGAGTATTGTATGTAGTGCATTAAATCAATTTTTATTGATATTTGTGCAAATTTGCAGAGTAACCACAAATTTTGCGAAATTTCTGTGTGCAAAAGATTAGAAAGAATTGTATTGGCCAAAGATTAGAAAGAATTGTATAAGAATTGTATTATATTTTATTGTTACAAGGAAGAATTTGCTTTTAACATCTAACTAATAATTGATAATAATAGTCAATAAAGAAAATGGTTTTAACCCGGGAGTATCGTAACATGTTTGTAGACGTATATCGTCCAGGTTATACTATTTTCTAGTGCCTTTTGATGTGAAATAAACTGTTCACCAGTATTCCACTTAATCTGGCACTTACTTGTACAAAAACCCTCATTACAAACACCACGGACGTACTGCCATTACCGACAGAAGACATTATGGACCTACTGGAGCTCTGCCTCACCTCGACTTACTTCCAGTACAAAGGTACACACTACTAACAGTTACATAGAACAGCAATGGGCTCACCCGTTTTTGTTGTAGTTGCTGAAATTGTAATGCAATCTGTAGAGGAACGGGCGCTCACGACTTACAAACATGCACTATCTTTTTGGTTCCGCTACGTATGCAAAAGATTAGAAAGAATTGTATTGGCCAGTATATCTTTGATATCTGGCGCATGCAAATATATTTTAATGTTACAAGGAAGAATTTGCTTTTAACATCTAACTAATAATTGATAATAATAGTCAAACTCAACAGGTAAATTTCCCGATTTTAACTAGACAACAGAAATGGAAAGTTCTACAGAGGCAACTAGAAGCAATATGGAACCAACAACTGAGAGCTCCGATAAATCTGTGCATTATTATAAGAAGAAATCAAACTCATACAGCAGTCAAGCAGAAGCTATGTCATTTTTTGAAGAAGGAAATTTTTGTATGAATAGTGGTGATTATGGAACAGCAGTTGAAAACTACAAAAGATGTTTGGAAAATGCCGAAGAGAATAATGTCAAAATGATGGTTTATTTTGGTCTTGGTAACGCTTACACCCTCTGTGATAATTGGGAGGAAGGATTGAACAGTTTTAATCATTGCTTAAAGTTTTCGTGTAAAGTTGAAAGTGAATATTTTGAACATCAAGTATACCTTGGCCTGGGGAGTGTTCATTCTACCATTAAAAGATTGGAGGACGCAGTGAAGAAAGATGAAATGGAATGTCTCTGCCATATTGCATTGGGAGGATTGAATAAGTTGCTTAAAAATTATGAGCAATCTTTGGACCATTATAAAAAAGGATTCTGTCTTATTGAATCTCAACAGCAACAACATGAACAGCATCATCGACCACAACGACAAAGAAAAGTTGGTGGTATCAACGTTAGTAAAGATTTCGTCAACCTTAACATGAAGAACTTGTCAATTGTTACTTCAGCTGGAATTGTGAATGGAGTGTTGGCTGTTTTATGGGAACTAGCGGAGTTGTTTGATAAACTTGAACAATGGGGAGATGCAACATTTATATATGAAACATATCTGGAGATGGTCACAAAAGATGAAGATATAGAAAACCAAAAGAACGTCATGGAGCGTCTTGCAAATATACGATGAAGAAGAGCGTTATTACTTAAGAAATTCGATGGAAGCCAAGTTACAAGAAATCATTAAGAAAAGAACGAAAAAGGTAGAGAGTTTGCACTAATGAGAAAGCTTTTAGTAATCTGTTCATTGATTGTTTCCGTTTTACTTAACTTTAATTTTATACTTTTATCATTTTATTAATTGCCGTCATCAGAGTGGGAATACATTGGTGAATCTGTTAAACATAAAGAATTGTTCTTAAAACTGATTAAGTATGGACGAAATCCCAATGTCGAGGTCAAGCATGTAGACAATGTACGTGTGATAATCTCTGAGGAGTTTTGCATCGGTAGAGGAAGTGATGGAACCCGTATTTATCTGGGACTGAAAAAGGATGGTTACGGCAGAGCAGTGAAACGAATACGTCGAGATAACTGCATCACTATTGCCCAGAAAGAAAAGGAAATCTTGAACAAATTCAACGCAAAAGAGTCGAAATATGTTGTGAAATATTACTACTTAGAAGAGGACACTGGAACAGACTATGTCTATTTGATACTAGACCTATGTGAAGAATCGTTGGAGAGTTTTGTGGAATCTTCTACATTGCAAGATCTTCAAAAATCTCTTCCCGAAATTCTCAGACAAATGTTAAAAGGATTAGCTGATCTTCACTGCGGCCCATGTTTTATTCTTCATCGGGATTTAAAGCCTTCCAATGTTCTCCGAGACGCACGTGGTAAATTTCTGATTGCTGACTTTGGTATAAGTCGAGAATTGAAGGGTGACCTTAAGACATATCATACTAGCTCCAAAAAGGGAACTCAGGATTGGATTGCTCCTGAATCATATTGTAAAGATGAAGATTCAGTTGATAAAGCACGTTACAAAAAAGAGTCAGATGTAATGGTAGGTGTAGAAATGTATCCTTTAGTAAATGACACATAAATTAAATTCTCGACAATTTATTCACGCTATTCTGTTTGATCGATTTAGAACGCAGGAATGTTGGCTTATTATGTTGCAACAAAGGGAAGCATCCTTTTGGACTGAAGACTGTAGACTACAAAACTTGTTACATGGAAATCATGTTGGCTTGGACGAAATAAAGGATGCTGCTTTCCTAGACCTTTTGTTATGGATGCTACAACTAAAACCAGAAGACAGGCCATCAGCCAACGAGGCGTTAAAACATCCTTATTTACAATCCGATAAGGAGAAGTTTGACATGCTGTGTAATGTTGGGAATCAACCAGAGATAAAACCATCGAAAGGTCAAAATTCGCATGTTCGTAAGCAGTTGGATTGTCATTCGAAATGGATGGAGCTTATCGACGATGAAGTATTAGAAGATTTCAAAACCTTTAAAACAAATGAAAAAAAGAAAACTTTGACTTACAAGCCTACATGGGCAAGTTGTTTAAGATTCATTAGAAACGTGAATGAGCATTGGAAAGATAAGCCTCGTCCACATCTATCGCCATATGTTAAAGAAGGAAACTATAAAAAGTATTTTTTGCAACATTTTCCTGATCTTCCTCTTCGTGTGCATAAAATCATAAGGTCAACTGACTGGAAAACAAGAACTGATCACGAGGAACATTTCACCTGTAAGCCATAAACATAATTTTCCTTTTTCAAAGACATTACTGAAATAGGCTTCCATGATGATATAAATGTCCCCGATTTAATTTTGATGCTCACTCAATCTTTTACGGTAAATTAACAAATTTGGCTATAAAACAACAGTTTTCTTACCCTGCCAACTCTCTTTTTTGGTTGTATTTTTATTTAGTGTGTTTTTAACACTCTATAATGTTTTCTCTCTCGACTTTCTACACTTTAAGCTGTACATAATAGTGACAATACCGTTGTGAACATTTTTTAGATACTGTGGATCATGTGAAAATTGAAGAAGTTAGTGGAAAGAAAAGCAAAGACGTCATGGACAATCTTGATCTTGACGGTAAATAAAGTTACAACAAACTAATGCTCACTGGAAGTTAATCACTCTCGAAATATAAGTCTTGTCTACGACTTAGCATATATTATTTTAGGAATTGGTAAAATCATGTAAATTGATGAGAATCCACTTTGTAACAGTAAATAAAAGTCGATTATTCTAATATGAAAGGATTACCGTTTTCCTCTAATACACGCCTAGCCTCAATTACGCGTTTCCCTCCGGTGAACGCCCCTTCCGAAAGCGGTTTTTATTATAGTAATTCCTTGAAAATAAGAAAATATTCAACAATCTTATCGATAAATATGCGACAAATGTGTATTTGGAGAATTTTATATGGTGCCTTTCTGATGTCCATGTAGTCATTGTATTCTTTATACTAGCAAGAGTCGTTTAAGTTAGTCCTGTTTTTACGAGCTTCGTGGAAAGTCTGAATGTAAGAGTGAGTAGCAATCTAGGAGGTCTGGGGGTGTATTGACTAATCATAACATCCTGCATGATAAATGTATAGCGTTTGTCAGTTTTTTCGAGTGACTTTCATTCGTTATGAAGGTTGAATTACTTTTCAAGATAGAGAAAACTATCAAAACGTGTCGTACGGTTAGCGATAGGCAAAAGTTAAAACTTGGCAAAAAAAGTTAAGATTTTTTGTTTATGTCTAAGCGACAAACAAATGATGATTTATCCTTCTTTCAAATAACATTTTTCTTGATAAAATCAATAAAAGCTATATTGTTGAATACAACTTAATTCTAGAACCCTTCATTTGCAACTGTTGCACTTTGTATTTTTTTGTAGTGAAATTGATTTTATTACGGTCTGGTACCAATGATAGTGGTTGAAACATTTCTGCTTGTAATTGCATTAGTTCAGATGCTAACATTAGTTAACTTTACATTAGTTAAAGTTTAGAAGCGTTCAGAAAACTGCTATATATTTGACATAAACAGCTAACAGACGCTAACATTAGATAACTTTACATTAGTTAAAGTTTATAAGCGTGCAGAAAACTGCTATATATTTGACATAAACAGTTATGTAAATTGTGTGAATAAGACATATATAACAATTAAATGTCAAAGAAAATTCCTCTAAGTGGTAGCGAGGATATTATAATGTAAAATATGAAAGTTACTTTTAAGTTCTGTGAAAATATGTTGAACAACCTTTTCTTAAAACTAGAATCAAGAAGATGAAAAAAACTCATTTGTAAAGGTATCACATTTTAAAGGTATTAAATATACCAGTAGCGAGAGAAAAGTTTGTGTTATGAAGTTACAAGTGCATGCAACGAATTTATATGTGATCAATAGTATTGTCTGGGAGATTAATGATAAAATACCCTTGCTACCATCAACACAGCAGTCTTTATACAGAATACATTGTAGGAACACATAACCAATAGCTATTTTTTAAAGTTTAAGTAGCTAACTTTTCTACCAATCAAATTTGGTATAAATATGTTCAAATTAATCAAATACACTTTACAACATTTGTACTAGGCTATAATCAGTCAATGTTCGCCGTTTTCAGTTAAGTAAGCTATATTGATGTATAAATGGCTTAATTTCTTGTTGTTCAAATTTACACTTTCCACGTGCAAAATTTACGTCTTTGAGATTTACCCACTATAGCGTTTGGAATTTAAAGTTTGATTTGTCGAAAAAATTTAACCAAGGGAAAGTGAAATTCGTTCTAGTTAGCAAGGAAACCGAGTCAACTGAGTCCGAGTTAACTGGAGTAGATTAATATATGTGCAGCAATGTCTGTTGATTTCAAAGAGAAACAGTTTTTTTCATGCATCATGTGTAATGTACTAGCAAATAACAAATCCAGCAGGAATTGACTTCGAGTTAGCGGAATTAAGGTTCGAGTTGAAGGAGCCAGTTGGAGTTCTTGTGGCTCTACTGTAGTACTAATTGTTGTATATCATTTGACGAAACGTCTAAATTAATGAAGGTACTTATCTGTGTGATTGAAATAAATTTGTTGTCTTTGCAAAATCTTATTTTAAAATGTTTTGCATTTTTCTACGATCAACGTTCAAGAAAATATTAAAAAGAATAAAGACAGTGCTAGCTCATCGTGGGCTCTTAATGACAGCGGTATCTGTTTAAAACATAAGTAGCAATCAGGAGATAAAACATGGTAGGTGAAGGAACGAGAAAATGAAATATGTTCGCTTGTGTTTCAATCAATGGTTTTGATGCATGGCCTACATTTCCGGTGAGTCATGCTTTGTAAAACTAACTTTAAAGTTGTGTTTCTTCAAATGTGCAGATAATTTACAGGCTTGTGCTTATTTACATTTTACATTTTTACCTTTGCAAAATTTCTCAAGTCTATTCCCCAAAGATTATTTCCAGCTGTGATCTTTTGGAATCTTTTCATTTTTTGAACAAATATGTATGTGACAAAGTGCATACATTTGTATTATTTTCATGGTTCTATCAGACGTAAACTAAACGGCAAATTTGATAATCAGGATCAGATAATATTTAGCAAGATTTGCAGACCTACTTTTGTTGTATTCCTGTCATGTTTAAAGAATGGTATGCTTATAAAACACTAGATTGAATTTGGGAGTTATTTCAGTGCATTTAATAGCATGTTTGGAAATTTCATTGCGTCAGACGTTTGATTCTATCGCTAAAAACATGTCTGTAATTATCTTCGTTATTTATTTCGACACGAATAAGTCTTCAAATTATATTTTTAACAATACTTACTGATTTTTCACTCATCACTAAAGTATAGAAACAATATTCAACTATGCAGATTAAGACAATTGTCTTGACATTTGTGTTTACATATAGCTGCGTTTTTACGTATAAGTAGAGTTAATTATTTTATAGATGTTAAAAGAACCGAGAGAGTTTTATAATTTAGCGTATGTTGTTGCCTATGACGAAAGGTATTAATTAAATGGCTGGAAGTGACACTGATCGAGCTACTGACAATTGTCCTATGTCAGACACTTTAGTAAATGATAGATCATCCGGATTTGCCAGCAATTACAAAATATGTACCTGACAAGTTTAGTTCTTTTACAGAATGCCAATTTTATCATTGCGTGGAAATACTGTAGGGGAGGATCGAGGGGGTTGTTGTAAATTATGTGTTTATATTAGTCACGCAGGACAATATAAATTGCGTTTATTCAACGTCCTATTTTTATGATTTACATCTCTAAAGTTATTTGATACAGTCATGCATCTTTAAAATATTATCAATGCAGTTTTCAACATGCAGTTGAGATTTCATTTCAACTGCTTCTTTCTTAAAACGAGATGTGGAAAGGCCAGGTTATCTTTAGATGCCAATAGTTACGGAACTGATTGCTTTGTATTAATCAAGGAAAAAATGCATACTGTCTTGCTCTTGGTAGACATTGATTTTATCAAAACTGTGCAAGTGTTGAAGATTGCCAATGATGAATTTCAATTTCAAATTTAAAAAATAAACTTAGTCGAAGACTCAAAGTTACTGGTTTGTTAAATATGCCAAGTATATCCAAAGGAATTTATAAAATCATTTATTCCCTTATTAATATTCAGTTATGAATGTTATTATCTTACATAATTTAATGTGGTATAATCAAATTTGTTTCCCACTTTTGAAGATTCCAAATCAAGCTTTTGTTATTTCACTTATGTGTATATTGCAAGTAACTTGTTGTCCTGAAGAGCTAAAATGATAATGTGAAGAAAATCCAATCCAAATAATAATATAAATTCGGGAGCGGTTAACTATAGTTTTTGCATATGTAGATCAGTTTGAAGAATTTCGAACTTTATCCAACATTGTCCAACATCATCAACATTTCTTTACATTTTATTGTATTGTATTATCATAACTGACTATCATACTCTTGACTGAATATAACAGATTATTTTCTTGTCCTTCATAAAAATATTTCATGTGCGTATGACGTTTTAAATTGATACTTCAAAAATTTCTCTTATCTCACCCTGCCTCCAACTGTGATCATTTGTAGTTGTTTGTATTGTTAACATCATTTTAATCTACGACTAAATGCAAAACAGGTATTCGACATTCTTTGATCTGAAGAGAATGAAACCGGCAAAGAAGTCAAAGGTTGCAAGTTGTTCTCAACACTAAAAGATCGTCATATTTGTGGTAAGTTTTCCTTGTGGAATGCGCTTTTATAGGTTTGGGTGTGTTGTGAATAGGATTGGTGTTAATTTAATTAAAGTGCGTTGTTATAGTCTTGGTTCGTTGGTAGTATATATATATATATATGTATATATTGAGTTCACTGATCAGGCCACTTTTGTGACCTCGTTAAAATATTTTTTCCGTACGGACCTCCCATCCGGTAAATAACATATATTTATTCTTAAAATACTCGAAGCACCGAATGCCCAAAAGCTCAATAAAATTATTCATGAAATTCTGGAGAAACAACGAATTTTCAACAATAAACATGCTTGAATTGCAAATCTTTAACTCTTTAACGATTGAGTTAACGAAATCTCTTGCTATAATTGCTATTCACGTTTTACTGTACGGTAGATTGAACAAAGAATGTCTCGCCGGCGTTTTTGTTATTGAGATTCTGTGGAGTGCGTTTTAAATCCACTGGAGATTGAGTTATCACGAAATTTGCCTGTCGGGATAAAATTGTAGTTTGTGATTGTGTTGTTTAAGTTATTTATGTCGTTTTTCAGCTCAAGGCTTTCCATCAAAGAAAGTTTCCAGTTCATATGTAACTATCAATAGTCGGATTTAATACACAGGCAGATCTTTTGATTACGAGAACAAATCCGGCATATACAGCAAACAACCAGTCGCTATGACTTTCTTGGAAGAGGGAAATTGTAGTATGAGTAAGTGTGATTATGAAATGGCAATTGAACACTACGAAAGATGTTTGAATGTTGCTAACGAGAATAGCCTGAAAACGATAGCATATTTTAGTCTTGGTAACGCTTATACCCTCTCTAATAAACGGAAGAAAGCAATAAACTGCTTTAATGATTGCTTGAATCTTTCTTCTGAACTGGAAATTAAATATTTTCAACATCAAATATACCTCGGGTTGGGGAGTATCCATTGTACCACTAAAAGATTGGAGGATGGCATAAAGAAAGATGAAATGGATTGTCTCTGCGATATTGCATTAGGAGGATTGAATAAGTTGTTTGGAAATTATGAGAAATCTCTGGAGCATTATTGGAAAGGATTCTCTTTTATTGATTGTGAACACCAAGAAGAAAAAATGCAACCTCGACAACGGAAAGAAAATCAACAAGGAAATCAACAAGAACAAAATAAACGGCGTGAACGACCGCGACGACCAAGAAAAGTTGGTGGTATTAACGTTAGTAAAGATTTCGTCAACCTTAACATGAAGAATTTGTCAATTGTTACTTCAGCTGGAATTCTCAGTGGAGTGTTGGCTGTTTTATGGGAATTAGCAGAATTGTTTGATAAACTTGAGCAATATAGGGAAGCAGCAGATATTTATGAAATGTATCTGGAGATTGTCACAGAAGATGAAAATATAGAAAAACAAGAGAACGCTATGAAATATCTGATACAAATATATGAAGAAGAAGGACGTGATTTCTTAAAGGATTCTATGACAACGAGATTACAAGAATTTCGTGAAAGAAAAAAGAACCAAGGTACAAAATGCACATGAATTCAGCTTAATTAAGAGACAAATTTGCTAACTAACAAAAACTATAAATTTAATGTTGAAGATTGAAAATATCTACTTTGAAATTCAAGTAAAACTTGTTCGCCGTGTTCAATGTTTAGCATGAACTCAATGTGGAATACGCACTCTTGTTAAACGTTTATGCAAAGTAGTTAATAACTTTTTCGTTTAGTTACAAAAACTAGTCTTAGCTTTTGTTTTTCCATTTTGCAAAACAATACCCTCATGATGTGAGTAAAAGACCTGTGTGAGATTTCCCGTGTAAGAGCTTTTTAGAGCCATTCTTATCAGAACTCATTGTTTAAATAAGTGGTCGTAATATGTTTATTTGTTGTTTTTGTAAGTTTTTTTTCACAAATTGTATCTGCTATCTGAATCGTTGGTGCAATAGGGAAACTCGAGCACTGCTATTTATTTATTATTGGACTATTCAGCTACAATATATTACTCTCTCTATAAATGGAATACTTTTACTTCTATTTCAGAATTGCAGCTGCATGAATGGAAATACAATGATAAATCGACAAAACATAAAGAATTGTTTCTAAAATTAATTGAGTATGGGAAAGACCCTAATGTTGAGGTTAAACATGTGGACGATGTACGTGTAATTTTCTCAGAAGAGTTTTTACTTGGCAAAGGAAGTGATGGAACCCGTGTTTATCTTGGACTGGGAAAGGATGGTTACGGTAAAGCAGTGAAACGAATTCTTCGTGATACTTATTTGGCACAGCATGAAGAAAAAATTTTTAATGAAATCAATGCTAAGAAGTCGGATTATGTGCTAAATTATTATTGCTCTAGACAAGATACAGGAACAGAATATGTCGATTTGATTCTCGATCTATGTGAAGAATCGTTGGAGCGTTTTGTGCTATCCGAATCAAATAGTTTAGATTATCTTCAAAAATCCCTTCCCGACATTTTGAAGCAGATATTGAACGGCTTAGCTGATCTTCATAGCGGTCCACGTCCCATTCTTCATCGAGATTTGAAACCTTCCAATGTTCTCCGAGACACACAAGGCAAATTTTTGATAGCCGATTTTGGTATTAGTCGAATTTTGAAGAATGACTCTCAGACATATGTAAGCGATGCTAATAGAGGAACTCAGCATTGGATTGCCCCTGAATCTTATATTGTTGATAAAAAAATATTTGATAAAGCACGTTACAAAACAAAGTCTGATGTAATGGTAGGTATTGGGTTGTTAATATTTGCAAATTGTACGTAAATTTAATTTTTACATTTTACGTACTCTGTTATGTTTAATTTATTTTAGAATGCAGGAATGGTGGCTTACTTTGTTGCAACAAAAGGAAAACATCCTTTTGGGACTAAAGAGTTCATACTTAAAAATTTGTTGGATGGAAACCCTGTTGGCTTAAAGGAAATAAACGATGCTTCACTTGAAGATCTTCTATCATGGATGCTACTGGTAAAACCCGAACTACGACCAAATGCCGACGAGGCGTTAAAACACCCTTATCTACAATCCGATGAAGAGAAGTTTAACATGCTGTGTGATATGGGGAACCAACAGGAAATGAAACAATCACAAGGTCAAAGTTCTTCAAATTCAGATGTTGTTGCGCAATTGTATGCTCCCATGGAATGGATGACGCGTATCGATGATGAAGTCTTGAAAGATTTCAAAACCTTTAAAAAGAATGGCAAAAAGAAAACTCCGACTTACGAGCCTACATGGGCAAGTTGTTTAAGATTGATAAGAAGAGTGAATGAGCATTGGAACGATAAACCTCGTACACATCTGTTGCGTTATGTCAAGGTAGGCAACTATATAGACTATTTCTTGCAACGTTTTCCTGAACTGCCTCTTCTGGTGCACAAAATCATAAGGTCGACTGACTGGAAAACAAGACCTGATCTCAAGAAACATTTTACGAGTAAGTAAGAGCTACGAAAATGACTTTTTTCTTCAATGTTGTAGCTAATTAATGGTTCCATGACACTATAATAACCAAACTTATTGTCATTTTCACCGTATTCGTACATTTTTTTCCTAGAATGTACTATTTTGATGTTAATTTCTGGTAATGATTATTTTAGTATTGAGGTTTTCAATTGTTCTATCACAACTCTCAACTGCTTTTAGTTTTATGTATTTTACGCATGCTGTCAAAACGTTACTATTTCATTATTTCTCATTTGGAGTAAAGTTGGTCTTTTTGGCAGCCTTATAACATTTCTTTATTTCAAATTACCCTTGCAACCATGCATTCTTAGGTACCAAGTTGGTTGAACAACTTGAAGAAATCAATGGAAAGAAAAGTGAAGACATAAATGATGATATGGATCTTGACGGTAAATTTAATTCTTGCTTTGTCACTCTTAAATCATAAATCTTAGGCTTGTAGGAGAATAAGAATTAAACATAAGCAAAATGATGTGGTTAAGACGAAAAGAAGAGCTGATGTGTTTGTCTGAAAGGATATGGTTATATATTTGGTCATTGAATTAGGAAAATCCATTAAGCACCAAAATGCAGTTTTCTTTTCGATGATTTGGCTGAATGATGGTTCCGTGACAATATGCAAAAGATGCCTCCAAGCATAAAAATTTTTCTTTGAATTAAATTTTTTTAAGGGTCTGCATTAATATAAATGCTCTGCATTATTTCTCTCAACTCCATTCAACTTTCGTTGTGTACATTGTGGCTTAGACTCATATCTGAGAAAGTTCACTATTTTGTTTGTGTATTTCTCATTCGAAAGTAGTTTTGTCTTTCTGGCTGCAATTTGAGTTTGCTTGAATTAAAATAGTTCCCTTTTATTTCCATCTAGTAGAAATTGAAAGAGTAAATGGAAGGAAAAACAAAGAAAACCCAAGTCATGACGGTATTTGATAGCAACAAACTTATTTGTGTGTGTGGAGGGGGTCTATTGTGCATTGTTTTCGTGGATTAGTTTGAAGTGGTTTGCTTTTATCATTTGTTCATTTGTTCAAAGTTGTGAATAAGTCGTTTGTACGTGCCTGTAATTGTTGTGATCTGTTCAGTTTCTTAATGGGTTTTGTTCTGAGTTAGTATAGCAACTTTTTAGCGCGAATAGTCTGTATTCAGTGCTGTATGTGCTGAATTATGCCGAGTCCTTGCAATCAATGTTGTGATTTGTCATTCGATGATGTTCGGGAGTGTGGTTGGTGTTATAAAACGTGTTTTAGATAGTTATTCTCGCTGTGTAGAGCGTCTGTTGAATCACAAACGAGTTGTGCACTTATTTTTAATGTTCCATTTGTGGTGGTTTTCTGTCATATAGTATTGTAACATGGTGGTCTAGCGTGTGCTGATTTGTTGTATATACCGTAGCGTTTAGCGTTACTTACTAGAAGCAGTTAAACGGAACAGCAATAGACTCACCTGTCTCTGTTGTAGTTGTTATAAAATTTTCTTGTAAACTGTAAAGGAAAGGGTGCGCTCACTACCTACCAATGCATACTACTTTTTTTGTTCCGCTTGGTAGACGATATTAATAAATTAGTAAGCTTTTATCGTTATTTTTGTGAAAGTTGTTTTGTTAAGAATTTATTTTTTTTACTTTTTTATATATACATCGAATTTAGTATTTTTGAAAGATGGATTGGATAAGGAAGACGACGAAGATGTTGCTCAAAGTCAAAAGCTGGATTCTTTCCATAAATCATCAATACAAATCACCGCGAGTGGATTTGTGCGCAATGTTGATGATATGAATAGGTTTCGTCGCTTTTTGGTTTTGGGAAATTGCATACCTACCTTCTATGTTTACGAAAAAACGTTAGGCTTAGAAAATGCGACAGTCGTCGTGAATCTTTTGAAAGCAGGAAGTGGTGTTGAAGTTGTCAATGAAATAGAGAAGTATAGCATTGAAGGACGAACACCATGGCAGCAGGCCATTGTGTTTTCTCTTGCTATCTGTGCCCGGAAGGGAGATCTTGCAACGAAAAAGCAAGCATACAAAGCTTTACCCAAGATCTGTCGAATTCCGACTCATTTGTTTATGTTTATTGAGTTCTGCAAGTTGTTCAGTGAATCTGGCAAAGGTTGGGGTCGTGCCCATAGGAATGCCATAAAACGATGGTACAAAGAAAAAGATCCCTGGAAACTGGCGATGGATCTCACCAAATATCAAAAGCATAAAGGATGGTCACATAGGGATGTTGCAAGGTTAATGCATCTTAAGTCAGAAGGAATTGATGTTTCTGATGAGTTGTTTATTATTATGACGTGTATTGTTCATGGTTCGAAGAGGTTTTTGAAATATTTCTTTCCTAATGATAAGCAAACTCCAAGTCGTGAGATTGGAGAAAAGGGCAGTGCAATGTTGGCGTTTTTTATGGCAGTTGAAGAAGTAAAAACATTGAAAGAGGAGGCAAGAGTGGTTGAACTGATAAATCAACATAATCTTGTTCGAGAACATATTCCAACACATTGGCTTAGTTCCAAAGAGGTAAAAACATTTCATTTTTAATTTTCTTTTTACATTTCTGAACTTGTATTCATTTCAGTGTTAACTTACTGGACTAATTTATAAATTTAGCTGAGAGTTTTTTCTTTTAAATTGAATGTATAGAACAAACCTTTTTATTGCTAACATGTTTAGGCAACCTTATGCCATCGTCAGTGCGAACAAATTAAATGAGCTATGTTACATAAATGTTGTAAACTATACATGAAATTAGATAAGTTATTTACAGACAATAGAGATAAGTGTAGAGTTACAATTATTTACAAGTAATTAATATATAAAAAGCGGATGATACGTGAAGTGAATGAACTTTGAATATTAAATATATTTACAAACTAAGAAAGATGTTAACACGGTGAACCTGCTTATTAAGTTCAAATTTGAGCTTCTTTAATTTTAATAGTAGAAGAGAAATTGTCAGCGCGAAGAACTGTAAAACAGGCGCCGTCATAATGTAATTTGCAATTAGGTGAGGATAAGAACTTATGAAGTGTTTCAAGACGTGTGAATTTTTGTCGATAGAGGTGTGTTCTTTATTCCTGCAACACATATGACGCATTGTTTCGCATTATATCATATTTTTAATTTTTTTTAAGTTTGCTTTCCTAACTTCTAAGGTCATCGCTTATGTTAGTGATAATCATCATGTTGGACCCATTGTTTGTACTACAACTGTGGTATTCTATCAGTTTACTTAAATTAAATTTATAAATTAGAAATTCATTATACAAGCATTGCGAAGTTTCTGAATCAATAATTGATAAGCTGTAATTTATTTGGCAGAATACAGGATATTTGTTCCATGGAAAGAGTTGTTCTAACTCTTAAACACTTGTTTCTAGGTGTGGGATGCTCTGTTAAAGAAAATGCCAATGACTGTAATGATACGTAACTTAAACAAAATGACTTCCATTCGCTTGCTTGCTGAAGGATCACCTCAGGTTAAATATGTTTGTGATAAACTGCACAACGAGGATCTGCTAAGAAATACTCGTATCCATCCATTTAACATGCTGTTAGCTTGGAGAACGTACAAGTCTGGAAAGGGTGAGAAGGGTTTTCTAAAATGGAAAGCCAATGTGGAAATAACCAAAGCATTGCAGAAAGCATTTTATTTATCATTTAAGGTAGGCAGAACACACAGTCAATTTTTGTCGCATAATTTTCTCTTTGCATGAGATGTTATGTACATTATGTATCATGTGTACTGATTTTATTCACATACAATTGTATGTGTTATAGATTATATGGTATACATTATGAATCATTTGAGCTGATCTTTTTCACATAAAAGTTGCGTCTTCTGAAGTTCTCTGAGCAGATGTATTTTCATGTGTTCTATTTTTTTGTTGTCTTGCATTTTTCATGTTATTTTGTACAATTTTAGAATGTTGAACCAACAGGAAAAAGTTACATGCTAGCCATGGATGTAAGTGGCTCAATGCAATCCAATGGATGTATTGGTGCAAGTACAATCAAACCTCATGTGGCTTCTGCTGCAATGGCTATGATGACAGCACGAACAGAAAAACATCCCAAATTTGTTGCATTTAGTCATGAAATAGTTCCGATGAAGATCTCCAGTAACATGAATTTGAATGAAGTTTTGAAGATTTGTAATGAAGTAAGTTGTTCAAAATACTCGAAAGATTTAAAGTATGTAGTGTAAAGCAAAAATGTTATATTGTATTTTTCAGATTCGAATGGGTAAAACAGATTGTGCTCAACCCATGCTTTATGCCATTGACAAAAATTTGAAGATTGATGTCTTTATTGTTTACACAGACTCTGAAACATATCATGGCAAAGTTCATCCAAGGGAGGCTCTCAAACAATATCGTCACCATTCAGGGATTCACGATGCTAAACTCATTTTTAGATTGTGAGCATTTTTTATAAGATTTGATAAAAAATGGAATACCTGATTTATACAGATGTGCCAACTTTTCAATGAGGGTGACATGATGCAGTTAAACAAAAAAAATCGAATTATATATCAAAAAATTTATCACACTAGTTTAACTATTGTGGATTACCACATAGTTAGCATGGCACACACACAACTTTTCGAAACCCCTGCGGTTGAATGTATTGTTTTATATGCAAGTGTTTATTATATATTTCTGGGCTTGTTTTCTTGTTGTACCGACAGAAAATCCCAGAAGAAAAGAGTTGTCTGCTCGAAATATCAAGGTGTATGTAAGAAGAATCAAACCAAGTCAATGATATGAGACTGAGAGTATTTTCCAAAATTGTTGTTGTGAATCGATTTAATGCCTTTAGTTCATGTTTTGTACTCCAAATTTCTACACTAAGTTATTGGTTGAAAGAACGATTGTTGGCAATGTATTCAGCAGCTTTACCAGTCAATGTTATGCTTTTAAACATAAAAATATAACAACCATCGCCTGCAAGACTTCACTAAAGTGCATCCGTTAGCAAAGAAAGGGTTGTCTAATAAGGATGTGGATATTATGTACATTGTCATTGTTACGAAGAAGATTTTCAGCATTTTGGTGTAAATCGTATTGTATGATGCAAATGAGCAGCTTTCAAAATTTGAACCGCTAGCCCACTGCAGGGCGTTCGTAGCGAGTAGGATGAGACTTATTTATTAAACTCAGGATTTGAACGAAGTTGTTTTCCAGAATGCAGTCTACAAAAAAGTATCGTCTACTGGGACTACAGTGGCAATTAAACTTTACCATGGAAAAAAAAGCAAAGTTCTGAATGCAATCTTCCACGATGTTGAACGATAAAAATACGTCAATGCAGCAATTCTGTACACGCAAAAAAGTTATGTTATATTGCAGCACGTTATAGTCAGAGAAAAATTTCACTTAGAGCAACTGTGCAGTCACTGTGAGTTCAGTGTACAATGTTAAAAAGGGAACCGTTCTAAATGTAGAAGGGAGTAAAAATCTGACTTGTTAAAGTTATTAGTAGTTTTTAGTACCCAATGGGAATCAAGCTTTAGATGGTTTGTTTCTACAAGCTGAAAATTTTATACATTTTGCCAAAAAAATTATAGTATGGTTGATTGTTCAATATTGCTTGGTTTCTTGTTATTTTTCTAGTGTTACATGGATGCTTGAAGCATATGGAGTTGCTCCTCCGAACAAGAATTTGGCATTACACTATTCAACGTGGCTTCAATTCTCTCCGTTTTTCTGGTGTTACTTGGGTACTTAGAGCGTATGGATTTCCTAAACGTATGTAAAGTTTTGATTCTCGTTTATGATACATAGTGTTCCAAAGTCGCAATTGGGTATTGTTTCTAAGTTTGTAAGAGATTTTTCGATCAAAATTTTATCTGTAGTCAACATTTCTAATTATGTTCTTCCTGAAAATGAATTTCTGTCTGCAGAAACCGATCATTCAATTTATTAACTTGCTGCTTCATCCACAAAAAATGCTAAACGATCATATGAGGCAGCTGCATGGCAGTTTTGAATATCATATGATTTTTACAATGTTTTATTGAATTTTTAATTTCAGGGAAATTGATAGGTAGTTTTGACGTTCGTTATGGATTTACCTGCAAACGTTGGCTCATAGATCCTGCCTATAGAGATCTTATCTCGTTTGAGAGGAAGAGACTTTTAGAGAAAAGTCGCACTAAAAAGTAAGTTTTCCAGTTAAATCGCAACATTAATTGTAGTTTTAAACATTTTTAAAAAAATTCAAAATACATTAGTGACACAATAAAATTATAGTGAGCCTGTGGGAACATAAAATATTTGTAATTTGATATCATTTATATTGGTTTGTTAGTTTTATATGACAAAACAGAACATACGTGAGTGTCTACACTGTAGTGACAAAGCACATGAAATACCAAAAAAACTGTAAAGTTTTTAAAACGTGAAGAAAGCGTCATATTTTTTAGCAAGTTGCTGTGCCACAATTGTGTAACTTTGATCAGTTGTGTTTTAATTGTTGCTATAAATCGTAATTACTCATACTTTTGTCTTAAATTAATGTTTTATCGCTATAATAATCATAAAGGAGTCGTAGTTGACATCAAAAAGTGCATTTTAAATTGTCTACCATTTTAAGAGTTCTAAATTTGTATTTTTGTGGTTTGTGTAACAAGCAATGTTTCAATGTACAACACTATTCATTCATTTTCAGCAGTTTTAAAAGACAATATCAAAACTTGTGAGTCTCTTAGCAACCAAATTTTTTTTTTATGCCCTTCCTCTCTCACGTGACTAGCGTTTCTGGAACTATTACAGTTATCGCACGCTAGTCGTGTTCACTCCTGCCCTTTGAAATGAGCAGGACAGCCTATATAAATACTTGAAATAGACTGCGCTTTTATTGCATAATATTCCGGTGCCTGCTTCTTATTGGCATTTTAATACTTAGTACGACTTTTACTGGTTAGTACTGCCATTTGATATAAGGAAACCACCAACCAACTCTTGTAAGTGTATAGTAATTACTCAAAAAATACTATATTTTGTTTGTGCTATTTATTTTTATAAATTATTTTACAGTGGTTTATTAGCAAGTAACTGTAAAAGATCCTATGTCACTATTCATTTCTTATAAAAAACAGATACTAACAAGCTGCTGAAAAAAATATACCTTATATTTCACATCCAAATTTTCGTTGATTTGTTGAACATCCGAATATGTTTAAAGTACTTAGCATGTATTTTTTCTTTTTCTAAATATCATTGTTAGAAAAAACTGTTAGATATGTTCGAATTTGATCTATGAAATGTATAGTCTGAAGAGGTTTTTTATTTGTCTTACCGTTGGTTAGTCTGTTTCGTTTGATTTGTTACAATACTGTTCAAAATTTCTTTTTAATTAACTAAAAATGTCTAATAGAAAACGAAGTTCCTGTGCATATCATCTGTACATTTCATCACCTTGATGAATGGTGCAAAATTTAACATGACGTCGTTCATAATATTTTGATGGTTGTACATACCATAAAAATCTTGATATCGTACACACATAAGAATATAGAAGCACTCTGCTTTGCTTGCAGCAATTATTAGTAAACGTTTTTTTTTATTGCAGCAAGAGTTGGAGTTTCTTGTTAACCTAATGTACCATTTGATAATAAAACTTTCATAAAATAAATGACAAATAGTAAAATTGATAGAAAAGTTTACAAAGTTAGTCAGAATTGCTGCAGTACATAACACACCTTCACTTCTCTGCTAACAACAGTGAAATTATTGAAATAGTATAATATTTGAAAGTATTTATTCGTTCTAAAAATTAGGAACTGAACACTCTAGCTACGTGCAGTTAAAGTAACTAAAAAATACATCGTCTTCAATATGTTGAAAGTATGTTATAACTTATAACGAACTAATGATTCTTACTGTTAAAATGTATGAGAAAATTTTCTTGTCTGTTTTATGTTCCTGCGTTCTAAACAAAGTTTGAAAACATCTCATGTTAAGCTTTTTTGCATCGGGATTCTAGTTTTTTCTATTCCGACAATAATACTTCTAAATTTTCCACATATTTATTCATTCTACGCAGCACGCTGAGATAACACTCAAAATAATCTTTTTATTAGTGTATTTTCTGCTGTGATCTTTTTAAATAGATGATATTGCAAAACAGAAATTCGACACAGAATCCAGAGCAAAGTAATTTATGATCCCATGTTTATGATTAGTCAATTTTTAGTCTTATTTATGTCTTATCGTATGGAAGTTTCATCGTAGTTAATGTTGGTGACTAAAGTTATCAATTATATTTTTATGATATTTAGAGGCAAATCATGACGACAACTTCCATAAACTTCTAGACAAAAGTAAGAATATTAAGGCTGACGTTCACAAAGCTCTCCAAAGGTAATTTTTCTTTCATGGGATATCGATTATGTATATTGACCTGTGCATGTCGGAACATTAAGAAAAATAGTTTTTAGACAATACAAAGTTATCGTTTCTTGTTTAAGTTGCTCGTGGCTTAGTGGGAAGTATGGAATAGCTCGCCCAAACAAGAAGATGCCGTTTCCTCATTTGTATGTCACAGTTGATTTTGAGAAAGAAAATTCGGAGGACGTTATCAAAAATGAGATCGATGAAAAGTTAAAATGGAAAGCATCGAAATACATCGAATTACGATCTAAACCATTGAAAGAAGCAAAGTTTCGAATGCTGTCTGAAATTATAGCGGAAAGAACCGAGGGTAGTTTTGGAACATTGACAATGTTCTGCCTTAAGAATGATATGTACTATGCCTTGACCTGTGCTCATGCTGGTGTTGTCAATAATTTGGATGACTGTCAACAAGACTTTAGTGGCGGAGTCCAATTTATGGAAATCCAAGAATCTCTAAATGCCACAGTTAACGAAGAAAGCATGAAATACTTTTACAACGGACAACCGATTGTCCGTGTTCCGGATCAAACGAGAGTGGTGTCTAATAAAGAAGTCGATATTATGTACATCGTCATTGGTAGGGAGGAAGACTTTCAGGAGCTTGCTGTAAATAATGAGATGACTCTCAATTTAGATTTGGATATGCAGTGCCATACAGGCCCTCACCACCTGCATTGCATGTGAAACATCCAACTCCAATGTTCTCAAATGACATCTGAATCGACTACACATCAATCCAAATGCATTTTCGACAATTCTTCTTTCTCGTGAAAGTCTATAGTTAAAAACTTTCTCATCACCTATTGCACTCCGGTGTGGATATGGTTTCATTAGATTTTCATTCAAGGCAAATGCCTCATCTCCAAGCAGAAAGTAAGGTATAGGCAATAATGTATCTCTTAGTTCTTCAGCTTGTGGGAAATAGCATGTCTTGCATATGTTTTAAGGTGACTGTCTTTAAAATTCCTCCATCTGACTGGTTGCCAGGGCTCCAAGATCAAATGAGATGAATTTAGCATTTGCATCTGCAATAGCCAAGAGGACTATGCTAAAATGTTTTTATAGTTAAAGTACTCAGGGCTGAGTTTGGAGGTGCACACAAATTGATATGTTTACCATCAATGGCCCCAACTGCATGGGAAAGTGCCATTTGCATTAAATTCATCAGCAATGTGTAACCATTGTTGCTTTGTTGTGGGTGGCTTTAAATATTCTTCCTTCAGCACATTATACAAAGCTTCACAAACCTCAGGTACAATTTTTGAAATAGATGAAACTGATATTCTGAAACTGTATATCAAATCTTTGTATGAGCATCCTGATGCTAAGAACTTTAATGTTACACACAAGCGATCATGAGCAGATACAGCATCTCTCATAGTGGTGTTTTTCTTTGCAATGAATGGTGTTAACCTTTCACATAGCTCATCAAACAAAATGGAATCCATCCTTAAAAGTAGTAAAGATTATAATTTGTAAAGAAAATAAGAAAATTTCATTATTAAAAAAAGAACGTAAAATTTGAATTGATTGTACAATCCATTGACTAGCTTAATTTTGAAGAGTGCATGAATAAAAAGACTATTACATTTCCTAACTTACCGAAACAAATTTCTAAATTCATCATGGTCAGTCACTCGGATCTCTTGAATTAAATTTTGTGCTAACCCTTGTGCGTATCGGCGCTGTCACCGATTTTACCCATCATCATCGTGACTTTCGTTTTTTTTTCACTTCGTGCACCATTAGAGATGTAATAATAGCTACTGCTTGAAGTATTTCTACCTTGGTCAGAGCCATTTTTGCACAAACATTGCATTAAAAGTACGTCGTAAAATGAAGTATGAACATGTAACTGTTCATTATTACAATGGGCGCAATACATCAATCGCCATGCGAACAGGCATTGACGAAATGGCAATCATTCCATCATATGATTTTGACACAAGAACTGAGTCAGTCATCAGCCATTGCACTATCTCTGGCAGCAATGAAAAAGACATGCAAGACACAATGGCAACACATGCCATGGTTTTCACGTTATGTGGTTTGACAACAAGATGGAAACAAGTTGTTGCCTACTTCTTCACTGGAAATTCATTCTCAGCTAAAGAAGTGAAAGATATTATCATTGAGATAATTCAAAAGGCAAGTGAATGCAATTTAACAGTATATAATGTCACTATGGATATGGGAGGGGGCAACCATGCTGTTCTTCGGGAATTTGGGATCTATTGTAAAGTAATAAGAGAAAATGATGAATTGGGACAGTGTAATGATACTGTGGAAATAGTCAATACCATTCAGCATCCTGTTATTGAGGGTCAGAGACTTACATTTATGCCTGATGTTCCACATGTTTTGAAGAATATCAGGAATCATCTGACTCGTGGACAAAATTTTTCATCCCACAGTATGCCATTGCTGAGTGCAATTTACCTACAAATGCAGTCACAATAAATCACATCAAAAAGCTGGTTAATTATGATTCTTTGCATAATCTAAAGATTGCACCACACCTGAATGAAAAATGCTGTGATCCTGGGCATTTTGAAAAAATGAAAGTGAGCATGGCTAAGAATCTACTATCCAGAAAAACTGGGGCAGCCATTCACTTTCTTATTCAGGAAAAAGTCCTGCCCAAGAATGGCACAACTACAGCATGGTTTTGTGATCAAGTTGGTCTGTGGTACAACCTGATGACATCACGTTCTTCAACAATGGGTTTCAGTCTCTACACACATGAAAAACATACAGAAGTTGTATCTTTCCTTGAATCAATTATTAAACTTTTTACCCAATTGAAAATAGGATCAGAATCAAATGCCAAATGGAGGCCTGCGCAAACAGGAACAATTCTAGCAACCAAAACCATTCTTGAACTTCAGAACTGCTTCATTTTGGAAAAACAATACAAGTTCCTTCAGACCAGCTGCTTCACACAAGATTGCACCCTTGCTGACCAGAGTCGGCCAAAGATCGTATTTTCACGTAAAGGTGCACCTGATTTTTGTATTATTGAAAAGAGAATTCCTTACATAAGTTCATCTAAAGCTATTTCTTACTAGTGGTTTTCATTAACACATTATTTTGTTATGCAATCAAAAAATACCTCAACTATCTGCAAATGGGCTCCGAAAAAGTATATAATTGTTGTTTTCCGTTATTATCATGCTAAATTCATGCGGACATAGTCACTGAATAAAAATGTATCTGCAATAAGTATTTTTAATGTTTGCTTACAATTACTCATTACTGTCTATCTAGTTTGCACTAATATTGAGCTGTACAGTTTTCTGGGAGAGGTCTCACTGGTCCCGTGTTCATCAACAGCCACCGTCAGAAAAATTAAAAAACATGAAACTCTCGTCAAATGTTAATGGTATTTAATGATTATGATTTATCATTATCTTAGACTTGAAAACAGTGCACACTCAGAACAACTAAAAATCATAAATTTGTATTGATAGATAAGAATCCAGTCACATCAACTGGTGCTCGGTTGACATCGGAAATTACAGGTAAAATCGACACTTTATTTACCATGGATTGCATGTTTAACCGTTGATATTAATTTTATGCAACTATCTGAGGATATGTAGGTACCGATGACTTTCAATTCTTCAAAAAAAAATTTTCTCACCGACGATTTCAAAATGAGCAATGACGTGCATAAGAAATTGAAAAGGTAAATCTTACTATTTGTGTTTTTTTGATATTCCTTCAATTCCAGTTGAGTTTTTATCCACGCGAAGATATTTTTCTGCTTTATTGTTCAATCTTTCCGTGATTTTTCCACATTTGCAGCTTTGATTGGTTTTGTGGAAAATGTGGAACAGCGGGTCCAACTGACCAGATGCCATATCTTTACTTGTACATGGTCGTTGATTACGCTAACGGAAAAACTGATCATAATATGAAACAAGAAATCAACGAGAAACTTGGTTGGCAAGCTTCAAAGTACATCGAATTCCGACCAAACGACCCGTCAAAGATGTGGAAGGTTCGACCTCTATCCAACAAGCGACTCGAAGTGGAACGCGATGATATTCCTTACATGCGATCCAGTGGCACGTTGACAATGTTCCGCATGAAAGATGGAAAACAATACGCGTTGAGCTGTTTCCACGTTGGTTATGAAATTGGCCGGATACGGAACGATGACGTTAACCCGTTTTTGGCAATTCAAGATGAAATTGAAGTAAACAGAAATGCCACTCAGCGATTTATGGAAGAAAATAAATATTAACTCTCAGATGATGACGAAGTTGTTGGTAATTTTTCCCATTTTGATTTTGGACGTGAAACTGATATCATGGCCATCAAAGTTGATGAAGTTAAAATGGAAAATATTTCAGATGAAATGGAGAACTATTCTCATGACGTATTGTCGAGGCTTTTTCTTAGAAAGCATCGTGGTGAAAAACGCATTGTTCAAAAAGCTCAAGAAATTTTTGGAAACATTGAGGATCTAATGTTTAATTTTGATGACGAAGACGGAAGACCCGTATTTTGTAACGCAGTGTTGGTAAAAAGTGATGTTAAGTTTCTAATGGACGGAGATTCAGGATCTCTTGTGTATTTTTGTGATGATGAAAACAAGAAAAAACGACGTTTTGCATATGGTGTTGCTGAATTGAGGAAGAAAGACCAAAACGGAAAAGTGGAGACGTTCTACATTTGCTTGAGATTAAAAGATGCTTTGGAAAAATTGGAACTTACGAAAAAAAAGTCGTAAAATTGAATGAATTCCTTAGATTGTTTAATATCCCAATTTCATTCCCAAGCAATTTTTCCTGCAAAATAATTACCTTCTATGTAACCGTAAGTAACCTTTGTTATAATTTTGTAGTTTGTCATTGTCCATTGAAAATCAACTGCCCCTTCTTCAAAGAAATAGTCTTTAAGAGCATTTCTGATTTGTCTTGCATGAATTGATGATGGGCGGGCACCAGCATCTGGCTGGATGTCACATACTTCATTTTCATTGCCTAATTGTGTTCTCCAAGAGCCATTCACAACATTTCCTTCCCTGACCCTGGTCCTTCTGACTTATCAAAAGGTTATGTAGTGCCATACAGGCCCTCACCACCTGCATTGCATTTGGAACATCCAACTCCAATGTTCTCAAAAGACATCTGAATCGACTACACATCAATACAAATGCATTTTCAACAATTCTTTGTGCTCGTGAAAGTCTATAGTTAAAAACTTTCTCATCACCTATTGCAGTCTGGTGTGGATATGGCTTCATTAGATTTTCATTCAAAGCAAATGCCTCATCTCCAAGCAGAAAGTAAGGTATAGGCAATAATGTATCTCTTAGTTCTTCAGCTTGTGGGAAATAGCATGTCTTGCATATGTTTTTAAGGTGACTGTCTTTAAAAATTCCTCCATCTGACTGGTTGCCAGGGGCTCCAAGATCAAATGAGATGAATTTAGCATTTGCATCTGTAATATCCAAGAGGGCTATGCTAAAATGTTTTTTATAGTTAAAGTACTCAGAGGCTGAGTTTGGAGGTGCACACAAGTTGATATGTTTACCATCAATGGCCCACCTGCATGGAGAAAGTGCCATTTGCACTTAAAGTCATCAGCAATGTGTAACCATTGTTGTTTTGTTGTGGGTGGCCTTAAATATTCTTTCTTCAGCACATTGTACAAAGCTTCACAAACCTCAGGTACAATTTTTGAAATAGATGAAACTGATATTCTGAAACTGTACATCAAATCTTTGTATGAGCATCCTGATGCTAAGAACTTTAATGTTACACACAAGCGATCATGAACAGATATAGCATCTCTCATAGTGGTGTTTTTCTTAGCAATGAATGGCGTTAACTTTTCACGTAGCTCATCAAACAAAATGGAATCCATCCTTAAAAGTAGTAAAGATTATAATTTGTAAATAAAAGTAAAGAAAATAAGAAAATTTCATTATTAAAAAAAGAACGTAAAATTTGCATTGATTGCACAATCCATTGACTAGCTTAACTTTGAAGAGTGCATGAATAAAAAGACTATCACATTTCTTAACTTACCGAAACAAATTTCTAAATTCATCATGGTCAGTCACTCGGATCTCTTGAATTAAATTTTGTGCTAACCCCTGTGCGTATCGGCGCTGCGCAGTTTTCCACGGTTTTACCCACCATCGTCGTGACTTTCGTTTTTTTTCACTTCGTGCACCATTAGAGATGTTATAATAGCTACTGCTTGAAGTTTTTCGACCTTGGTCATCGCCATTTTTGCACAAACATTGCATTAAAAGTACGCCGTAAAATGAAGTATGGACATGTAACTGTTCATTATTACAATGGGCGCAATACCTCAATCGTCATGCGAACAGATATATTTACATATATTTTGTGTCGTTTACACGGTCAAATGTATTTGTCGCATAAAAATTGTCATATTAAAATTGCTCGTGTAAACGGGCCTATAAAGAGAGAAAACTGCCTGTCAGTTTTCAGTTTAAATACTAATGATTGAAATTTCTAGATAAACATGGCAATTTATTAAACGTTTCTATTTCAGGGATTTTCATTGGTAGACGACCGTCGTCATGGATTTACCTGCAAACGTTTATACATAAATCCCGACACTCGCTAAGTTACATCATTTGGCAGGAAGACGTTTCACAACGAAGAGAAATTTAAAAAGTAAGTTTTATCAATAAATATCGACTTAAGAAGAATTATAGGATATACAAAATACTCTAGTTTAACTTTAGAGACATAGTAAAATATGAAATGCTCATGCTTTAGAATAAGTCTTTCTTATTTCCTCCGCCAAGTGTTTATTCGTTTTTTAATTTGATATGACAAAACAGACGATACATGAACAATTTTATTCATATGGCTTTGAATTGGTCATTGGAAATGTATTGCATTCCCATAATTTTCTTAAGACGAACATCGTCCATCAAAAGGGCATTTTCACAACTTTAAACCGCCATAAAATGGAATAATTTGATCAAATCAAAACTTTTACTGATACTAGAAATCGCACTTAAATTTAATATCGCCAATGATATATGGCCATTGAGTTCTATAAGACCTGGAGGAAACGTCAACAAAATTACTATAAATTATCAGTGCACGGCCTCGTGGTCAAAAACATGGCGGATTTTGGTTGTCAAAGTCAGCGGAAAGACGTGGGCTCATAAAATAAAATTTTTTTCGCCTATCCGGATTTGACAACCACATTTGCGATTATATAAAATATCAATGCCAAGCACAAAAACTTTTATCAATAAGAAAAGTGTTATGTCAGAGAAGCCAATGCACTTTAATTTAAGAAATCGTATTTTCAATGGGAAAGTAATGTAGTTCTGTTCAGTAGTAGATCCATGGTTTTCAATGACAATCCAGTTTCTAATATCTTGGCTCAAAACAGAACCAGCAACATGATTATTGAATTTCTGAATTTCGTTCTTTTGCTTTCTTAACTCAAGATAATTTCTTCATAAGTTGTCATTAGATTTATCAGAATATCATAATACTTTATAAGACACCCAGAATCAATCCTACCAAAAAAAACTCAAAAAAATTACATACCTACTTATTTTATATTTCTAGTCGACTTAAGTCGTAGGGGTAAGCTAATTATTGCAACTCCTTTTTGGACATTTTAACTAAGATGTACCCGTCTGTTCAAGAAAGACAGTTGCACCAAGCTGTTCACAAACAGTCCAATACACAAGTATTGTGCATGGGATTATGCATTAAAGCTTAACAACACATTGACAGTTTAAAGAATGCCGTTTGATATTCATTTCTAATATAGCTAAAGCATTACTTGACAAAATATAAGTTATTTTACGATAGGTTTTCCTCATTTAAATTGTTGGGTCTATTTCACAAAAACCTGAAGCATTATTTTCAATATTTATGCTTACCGTATCGTGGTGGTTTTCGCTGGTTGTCATTAATATAAGCAGTAAAAAAAATCCGGGTTCCAGAGGGAATGAATGTTAAAAATTTTTCTCAAAGTGGAAGTTTTGACAACCAAAATCCACCATTACCGCCATGTTTTTGACCACGGGGTCCAGGTCCCTTTTCCCCTCCAGGTCTTATAGAACTCAATGTATATGGCCTATAGATGTAAAATTTGTTTATGTAGCACATAAAAATCGTAAAGTTACATGTAAGCCACTGTCAAACATGAATAGCCAGGCGTTGTGTATAGTATGATGTTGTTTTATACACAAACACGAAAAATACAATTATTTCTTAATTGATATAAATTATTTGAAAGAATCCAAACAATTCATTTTATATAAAGCTGTAAAACTACATGTGTGGTGTCTCAAACATGATGAGTATTGCGTCTACATCAGGACCTAGTAAGTAATGGAATTTTATATGCAAATATTTACACAAACGTAATCTTTATTGCCTATTGAAATGTTAAGTACAAACAAGAATGCAATGTAACCATTGAGATTTGTTTATATCTTCCTTATTCACATACTTTTGTTAATGGTCAAAAATGTGAGATGTAATGAAGAGTGAAATAACTCAGCGAGTATTCCTTTCATCTTGCTATGATGTATTAACCGTGTTATGTGATGCATTAATTTCCAGCTTCTTACGAAAAGATGTCTTTGCCATCTTCCATGAGTGACAACGACTATGACGACATTGATAAAACTCCTTCTTCAGCAGTACTTGGTAAGAAATTGTATTTTGTTAGCAAACATTTGCACAGACATCTTTACATTCCCTTTAAAATTTGTTTACATTCCCAATACGTTTGTATCATGCGTATCATTTATACGTTTGTAAAGGGTCAGATAAGAGAGTTTTAGAATTTGTCATCATACTGTAATGTTATCTATTAGATGATAATAACAGTGAAGACATGATTGGTGTTTCGCCTTCCACATCAAAACCTGGTTAGCAAAAGAATTTTGTTAAAAAACATTTGCCCAAACATTTCCATGTTTTTCAACGCTAAATACAAACAATAATTTATAACCTAATAAATTAATTTTAAAAGGTATCGTTATATGTAGCCAACTAAAATCTTTTAATTCAAAAATAATGCAAATGTTGTGGATCAAAATCATGTGAAAATTTTAAACTTTGTAAACATAGAAATTTGATCAATATGTATAGAAAGTGAAAACTGGCTATGATGCTAAAAATAAATTATGAAAACCATCATGATCAACTTGTTAGTTACATGTATACGTTACACGTACATAAATTAACTTAAATAGAATATTGTTGAAGACATCCTTTTAAAACATATTATTTGATTATTGATAGCCAATAAAAAGCCAATAATTCTGGTAAAAAAACTCAAGCTTTTCAGAAGGTAACCTTAAAAACATTAGGTTCTTTAATTCTCCGAACTCTTTTCACCTCGACAGATGCTTTCATCTTTGATTTTTCAATCTCAATGTTTCCGCATTTAAAGTGAAAAGATCCTGACGTCCCTCAACGTCCTTTGAACTAAATATCCCTCATCCGTGTGTTTGGGAGCAGGGAAATACGATGTTAATACAAAATAAACTGATACAAAGCCAAACATGTTGTTATGTTGTTATGTTATTATTTAGTAGCTAAATATAAAATTCAGTTCACCTTAACGGGCAAAGCGGTGTAGGTATTTCAAATGTTGTCTAATAGCCACATTTTTTTGATATGCGTATAATTAGAAAATTAAATTGCTTCTTGATACATTGATTTATTCCTTTCTAAATAGTCTACTTTCCTTTTTAATTCAAGACTTGCTGTCTCAACCATGGAAATGTTATGATAAATCAATAATGCATCAGCAAAAGTTCAGAATGATGGAAGAATATGAGCAAGAAAATCCAAGAAACGTTAAACTTGTAAATGGTGTAAAGGTTATTTGTTCTGAAGAGTTTTTGCTTGGTAAAGGAAGTGATGGAACTCGTGTTTACCTTGGACTCGGAAAAGATGGTTACGGAAAAGCAGTAAAACGATTGCTTCGAGATAACTGCGCGGAGTTAGCCAAACGAGAAAAAGATATTTTGAATGAGTTTAATGCAAAGCGTTCAAATTATGTTGTGAATTATTGGCATCTTGAAGAAGAACCAGGCACAGATTATTTGTATTTGATATTAGATTTGTGTGAAGAATCGTTAGAAAGTTTTGTGCAATCTTCTACTTTGCAATATCTTCAAAAAGCACTTCCTACAATTCTTATGCAGATTTTAAAAGGTTTAGCTGATCTTCACAGCGGTGAGCATCCTATTCTTCATCGGGATTTAAGACCCTCGAACGTTCTTCGAGATGTACAAGGAAATTTTTTAGTCGCGGACTTTGGTATAAGTCATATGTTATCTGATGAAACTTCGACACATTGGAGCATACAAAGAGGAGCTAAATATTGGATAGCTCCAGAGTCATATGACGCATCTGATGATACAATTAATAAAGTTCGTTACAAAAAAGAGTCTGACATTATGGTAAGTTCATGAAGTAGAAATAGAGGTCCAACTACAGGTCAATGTTGTTTTTGCATTTGAATGTTGTATTTGGTAGGGATATCATTATCACTGCCACTGATATCATTATCACTTTTAAATAAAATTTTTGTTTACCTTCATTGTACAGTCATATAGTGGCGAAATACAAATTGTACTGTATAAAATATAAAAATATGTATATGTATGATAATGAATTGTTGTTATTGCCTTATTGGTTTTACGATTGTATGTCTTTCATTTAGATTGCTCTAAAAAATTATGGCTACGACTCTTAATTGGAGAGCATTTTGCTGATTTTTTTCGAACTGAACTTGTATTTTTGCAAGTAACAAATAAATTAACTCCATTTTTTATTGAAAATAGAATGCCGGAATGGTGGCTTATTATGTTGCAACAAAGGGGAAACATCCTTTTGGAATTGAACGGCATAGACTGGACAACATTTTGACAGGAAACCCAGTTGGCTTGGACAAAATCAAGGATGCCACGCTCAAAGACCTTTTATCGTGGATGCTACTGCTAAAACCGGAAGACAGACCATTGGCCAACGAAGCGTTAAAACACCCATATCTACAAACCGATAAGGAGAATTTTGATTTGCTGTGTGATGTTGGGAATGAACCAGAAATAAAGACATCATCTCCACATTCTCTTCCCTCAAATCTTCGTGAGCAGTTGAATCTTTCAATAAATTGGATGGACCGTATCGATCCTGAATTCTTTAATCATTTCAATAAAGTATCCGACTCTACATGGTTAGGTTGCCTAAGATTTTTACGAAACGTTCGCCAGCATTGGCATGATAAACCTCGTCCACAACTGTCATCATGTGTTAAAGATGGAAACTATCAAGAGTATTTTCTTCAACTTTTTGAGGAACTGCCTTATCTAGTTCACAGAGCCATAAGATTGAGTGCCTGGAAGGCAAGACCTGATCTAGAGAAACATTTTCCAAGTAAGACACAGAAATGAGTTTTCATTTTTGATGGCCAAGCTATAAATTAGGGGTCCATGACACTATATTTGTTATTTTCACTCTAGTTCTACTCTTCATTTACTTTACTTAATGCATGTATGTTTTGAATTCTGTATATTGCCGTTGCAAACATTTGTTATACAGTGCACATGCTGTAAAAGTTAAAGAAGGCAAGGGAAAGAAAAGCGAAGGTGTTATTGATTACGTTGATCTTAACGGTAAATAGCTATGTAACAACAAACTAATGCTGTGTACGTGTCACTTTTCTTAAATATTCTACCAAAAACCGTAATCTCTTCACTTGTATCTGGTGCGTCGTTTCTAACTTTGTGCAACTGAAAATAACGGTTCCAAGCATGTGTGATACACTACTAGCAATAGTCAAAAATCTTTGGACGAGATTAACGATATGTCAGATATCCAAAGATAGTGACGAGAACCTACGAATCATGGTGATTCAGAGACTTTGGCATATTTTTATCGTCTGGTAAAAAGAAGCTTATAGCTTATTATGTTGTCAAACTTGTAAAGAACACATATGCAATAGTAAATATTGCGTATCTTTTGCTTTAAAGGAGTAGTCAGACGTTAACACAACTTTCACTCATATGAAAGTTTATATTGTTCTTACCTCTCTCGCGAAATCCTAGGTTTCCAATTCAAATTTAACTCGAGAAATAATGCCTTAAATGTGTGTATTTTTCGATCGCCATTGTGTACATGCAAGCGAAGCCGCAGTCCAGCTGCGGTTTTTCGTCGTTACGTCACTGCGCGGTGATCGTTGTCAACATTAGACAAAATATACTAGCAAAAGTAGAAATTACGCATAAGCATATTCATCGTTGCATTTTATTTTCTAAGTTTTTAAATTATTTTGCGCAATGGATACGGATTACTCAAACGATTCCTCTAGTAATTATTCTGGAAGCAGTGTTTCAAACTACGAAGAAATGATTAACGATCAAAACATGATTCAACCATATGCTTATGAGCCGATTGAAACAGACTCTAGCGACGAGCCTATGGACGACTCCGACGAAGTTCAGTTGTTCTAACAATGAATGAAGACTCAGCACAATTTGAGGGAATAGATACTCCGGACTGTATTACAGATAATCCTGTTTTTCGAAATCTTTGTTTAAATTATTGGGTATTACGACTGGCATGGAGTGAGTACAAACTACACTATGGTTCAAGAGCTGAAGAAGGACCTGAACACAAAAGACAAAGACATGTGGCTTACAGGCAACTGGTTCGATGGTGTTGGAATGTATTGGGCAAGGAAATTAGAGTACCACTACCATCTTTTGCTGCTAGCTACATTCAAGCACATTTCCAACCACCAGGTCTAGAAGAGGACTTTGTCTTTGAGGGTTTTAAATTCGCTGATGAATAATAATGGTAATGTAAACTATTATAGCCATATTTATAAGTATCTTAATGATGAATTACTAATAAATAAAAATATAAATTGGATTTAGTAAATGAACAATAAATACAAATTATAATGGTCAAGCCAAACCAATTCTTTATTTGTGCTATGCAAGGATTTTGGTGTACATAATTAAAAAGTGCCTTTGCTAATGAATTTGCATAGCAAAACATAAAATTGTGCTACTTTACTATTAGAGATTCTCTTATTATTAATTATAAATATTGATATATACATAATTATTTTTTGGGGACTGTTTACCCATTCTTGATTTGTGTGCTAGTAAAACACTTTATTTGTTTGGCTTTTCTATAGATGCAATATTTCTTGGAATGTTTGCTGGTAAAGAAATCTTGTTATGTACATTTTTTACATTAAAACAGCAGACATCTTCCATCATACCTTGCACAAAAGAATATGACTTACTCACCATAATTGGCTTGGCTACCCAATTTTTTCGCCCTTTTGGGAACATGATAAGCACAAGTGGAAGGAGGGAAAATACTTTATTAAAAGTGCTTTTTGTATAAAGGTATGCTTGCAAGAACCAAGTTGGCAGTGATAGACCACAATGTAAACACTGGCAGAAAACAAGCACAAGTTCAATGTGGAAAGCAGCAAGGGGAAAAGTGATATAATATCGTACATAACAAGATTTGTAAAAAATGTACATAACAAGATTTCTTTATCAGCAAACATTTCAAGAAATATTGCATCTATAGAAAAGCCAAACAAAGAAAGTGTTATACAAGCACAATAATAAGAGAATCTCTAATAGTAAAGTAGCCCAATTTTTTGTTTTGCTATGCAAATTCAGCAAAATTTTAGCAAAGGCACTTTTTAATTATGTACACCAAAATCCTTGCATAGCACAAATAAAGAATTGGTTTAGTTTGTCCATTATAATTTGTATTTATTGTTCATTTACTAAATCCAATTTATATTTTTATTTATTAGTAATTCATCACTAACGATACTTATAAATATGGCTATGATAATTTCATTACCATTATTATTCATCAGCGAATTTAAAACCCTCAAAGACAAAGTCCTCTTCTAGACCTGGTGGTTGGAAATGTGCTTGAATGTAGCTAACAGCAAAAGATGGTAGTGGTACTCTAATTTCCTTGCCCAATACATTCCAACACCATCGAACCAGTTGCCTGTAAGCCACATGTCTTTGTCTTTTGTGTTCAGGTCCTTCTTCAGCTCTTGAACCATAGTGTTGTTTGTACTCACTCCATGCCAGTCGTAATACCCAATAATTTAAACAAAGATTTCGAAAAACAGGATTATCTGTAATACAGTCCGGAGTATCTATTCCCTCAAATTGTGCTGAGTCTTCATTCATTGTTAGAACAGCTGAACTTCGTCGGAGTCGTCCATAGGCTCGTCGCTCGAGTCTGTTTCAATCGGCTCATAAGCATATGGTTGAATCATGTTTCGATCGTTAATCATTTCTTCGTAGTTTGAAACACTGCTTCCAGAATAATTACTAGAGGAATCGTTTGAGTAATCCGTATCCATTGCGCAAAATAATTTAAAAACTTAGAAAATAAAATGCAACGATGAATATGCTTATGCGTAATTTCTACTTTCGCTAGTATATTTTGTCTAATGTTGACAACGATTACCGCGCAGTGACGTAACGACGAAAAACCGCTGCTGGACTGGCGATCGAACAAGAGGCAAAAATACACACATTTAAGGCATTATTTCTCGAGTTAAATTTGAATTGGAAACCTAGCATTTCGCGAGAGTGGTAAGAACAATATACACTTTCATATGAGTGAAAGTTGTGTTAAGGTCTGACTATTTTGTGTTAAGGTCTGACTTATTTTATTTTCTTTGCATTATTTATCCTAAAGCCCCGGTCAAACGAGCGCAACATTTTGATCCAACATCATCCAACTTTGTTGTCACAAAATGTTGGCCCCGTTTGACCACCCTTTTTTATAATGTTGCATGATGTTGGACAATGTTGCATGGAATTTGATTGTAGTCAAATTTTTATCCAACAAATTATGCTAATTTTGCATGTTGCGATCGTTTGACCTGGCGTTAGCAACAATGTTGGTCATACGCATGCGCAATATACGTTTAGCTTATATGTTTGTAAATGATGATCGTCCAGGTTAATAAAGTCCTGAGAAGGACTGTTTTTGATGTTGTTGACTGACGTTTCGACAACCTTAGCGGCAGTCATCTTCAGAGTCAAATGAGGAGTAAACGTCAGGTTAGCCGTATTTATTGTCTGGTTCTTACGTCATTGTATTGTGTGTACAGGAAATGTGCAGGAAATGTGTATTGTCATTGTGGATTAGTGTGAAGTGAAATATTTTATTTTAGTTGTGATGTGATTTAGGTGTGACGTTTTAGTTGTAATGTGTGGTGTCAATTGTGTATTGTCATTGTGAATTAGTTTGAAGTGTAATGTTTTAGTTGATCGTTTGTTTGTATTGTGAATAAGTCGTTTGTGAAGGTGCCGGTAATTGCTGTGATCTGTTCAGGGGTTTGTTCCAAGTTGGTATACCAACTTCTAATGTAAGCCGTTGTCTATAGTCAGTACTGTAAGTGATGCATTTTGCCGAGTCCCAGTCAATGTTGTGCTTTGTGATTCGGTGATGTTCGGCAATGTGATTAGTTTTGTCTTGTTTCTTAGTAGCTCGTTTGTGCTCAGTAAGTCTTATGTTTAAGTTCCTGCCAGTTTCCCCGATATAGGAGGCGTGGCAGTCAGGACAGTTATTTTGTAAACTGCACCTTGTCGTTCGTTGGGTTGTTCTTTGTCCTTTATGTTCGTTAGTACTTGTCGTAATGTTGTGATTGGCTTATGTGCGACACGTATGTTGTATGGTCGTAAGATACGCGAGATAGTCTCAGACGTACCTTTGATGTAAGGTATCGTTTGCTGTCACTGAGTTGTTCGTTTGTGGTTCGTTGGTTTGTGTTGCGTTTGATAAAGTCAGAGTTATAGTTGTTTCCAAAAACGTTTGAGATAGTTGTTTTCGTTTCAGAGCGTCCGGTGAATCACATATGATTTGTGCATCTTGTTAATGTTCTGATTGTGGTGGCTTTGTGATGGGGTTGTAAGATGATTGGTCTAGTAGTCGGTCAGTATGTGGCTTGCGATAAACTGTTGTTCCTATTTTGATTGTCATGTTTTACCAAACAGTCGAGGAAAGGAAGAGTTCCGTTTTCTTCGACATCTTTGGTTAAGTGTATGTGGCTGTTCTGTTTGTTGATGAGGTATGAGTCATCAATCTCGATCTGCATGTAGTGACTGTGATTGTGTGTCATCTACGTAGCAGAAACAAAAAGATGCATCATTTGTAGATGAGTGCCGTTCCTCTATAGGTGCATTACAATTTCAGCAACTACAACAGAAACGGGCGAACCATTAAACGTTCAAGTTTTTGTTGTTGTTTGATTTGAGGTGTTTAATCTCTCTGTCTTGTTTGTATCGTTTCTCTGCAATACGTTTGTATGGTAGTAAGCTATCCTTACAATGTTGGTATGGTTCTTCAGTTTGAACAGTGCGACATTTGTTTGATGTAATAGTTGATTCGTCTGTGACAGTCAGTTTAATCCGTGCTCGTATCAGTCATCTGCTGGTGGATTTGACAATCTGAATAGCCTCTTGTGTGTTCAACAGGAGACTTGAGTCTAAGTCCACTGTCGGAACGAGACCAAAATCCTTGCAGCGTGGATTTGAAGACCAAGTTGTTGTCGTCTGACGTTGCTTACCAAAACATTATGTAGTCGTTAGCAAAGTTGTTTAACTCTGTCGTCCAAATGATCGTAATAAAGTAAATGGTTTTGAACCCAGGTATCATTATATGTTTGTAAATGATGATCGTCAAGGTTAATAAAGTCCTGAAGGACTGTTTTGATATTAATTGACTGACGTTTCGACAACCTTACATGGCAGTCATCTTCAGAGTCAAATGAGGTAAACGTCAAGGTTAGCCGTATTTTGGTAATGGTTCTTACGTCATTGTATTGTGTGTGGAAATGTGCAGGAAATGTATTGTCATTGTGGATTAGACTGAACAAACTGGGAACTCATCCACCAACGACAGTAAGTGATAGTTTACTTTCTACCATACACAAACTATTGCAGAGAAACGAGCAAACAAGAACAGAACACAACACCAAAATCAAACAACAACAAAAACTTGAACGTTTAAAACAAACTAAAACACGTGCAAGACATAAACATGACGATAACTGGGTGAGGAATATTTCTTCCCGCCCATTAGACGAAACTGAAACGCGACTACTATCTTACGGACAAAACATTCCATATACCTAAACAAATCCGACTGGAGACGATAGTATCAAGTGTCGAGGCTGTCCTAGCGTATCAAAGAGACTTGTCAGGGACAACAAAGACGAGATCAGAAGCAGGATAGCCTCCACTTTA